TCAGTCACAACATCTTTATCCACCTTCAGGCAATCAAAATCAAATGAAAGGATATCCAACTGGTCCCAAGAAGGAGCCTGCTCATCACCACATATTTTCATCAATAATTAGAATTGCATGTGGCAATGTCATGCTGTGGGTCTTGTGAGTTGTCAAGGCAAATATATACATTCTGCAATAGGAATTGGCACCTCAAGGCATGTGTACCATTTATTTTCAAAATTTATAGTGATTTTTTGAATGTTCATTTTAATAATGTTACCATTAGTTGGAAAAGTAACTTCTACATTATCATCATCTATAACTTTGGTTATCACACCTACTGTTCCATTGCAGATGCCATGTTCAACGAAATTTCAACACTGATTTTACCTGATAAAAAGTAATAATTTTGGTTGCGCAGCTGTGGAAACAATTGAAAAAACGGGTTTTCAGATTTTGACGTATTTTTTTATTTTGCCTAATTACAATAAAAAGTAATAATTTTGAAAAATGTTTTTCGGATTTTGTTAGACGCAAATCATTTTTTTTTATTTTACATAATAAAAAGTAATAATTTTTGGGAATTGTTATTCGCACCCCTCCCGTGACTAAGTGTAGTAATGTGACCAATGAATGGCTTTAAAATGTGATGATTTTATTGGTTCATCTTTGTCTTAGTCACGGGAGGGGTGCGAATAACAAAAATGGGAGGTGCGAATAACAATTCTGTAATTTTTTAATAATTCATAATAATACATAGTAACACGAGACAAGTGAGATTCATAAAAATGATTACTTTAGAGCTTAATGATGAATTGTTATAATTCGGTAAAATTTAATTTTTTTTAATGGAAATATAGAAAAATCAATATATATTTTTTGGTGATACATTAACATCTTAAAATTTTTGACAAATTACAAATAATTTAAACATTTTGGATGAAAATAAACATCATAACAATACTTATATTGCTTTCAAGGAACATAAGATGGGACCTGTTTTCAATCTTGCCTTGACTTTATTAGAATGCTCTATTTTCCTAAAAGTGGAGATTTACAAGTCATTGATGAAGACTATCGATCTGGTGAAATTGCTGTTCAAACCTTCAATAACTATCTTAAAGAATTTATAGACTTACCAAGTTTGGGTCCCGCTTGATCCACTGAGAGACATTATATCAACAGCCATTATACCAACTCCATCACACCAACAGGGCGTTTTACCAACAGAATGTTTTACCAACAAGACATTATACTGACAGGATGTTTTACTGACAAGTCATTTCATAGTGCAATTAATAAATCTAGCCATCTAATAAATGGCTTATCCACTTAAACAGCCCAGCCATCTAATAAATGGTTTAACAGACTTAAACAACTTAGCCGGCTAATAAATGGTTTGACAGACTTAAACTGATTAGCCAGTTGATCAGCTAACATCATCAGATATATTAATATTATATATGCCATTTCTTAATATTAGCGGATAATGATAATGAACTGATATGGTTATGGTAGGAAAACAAAGAAATATATGCTAAATTGATAGAATATATTAGAAAATGACTTGTTGGTAAAATGTCCTGTCAGTATGTTTTGACTTATGTTTTAAGTATGTTTTGTATAAATTAAGTAGAAAATAAGTATCTAAACTTTTTGTAGGGTCTGATCCACTGACAGACATTATACTGACAGACATTATACTGACAGCCATTATACTGGCTCTGTTATACAAAAAAGATGATTCATTAATTATTTGCAAAATATGTATGAGTATAATTATTTTACAATTAAAACATTCTTATTTTTACAGTAATAGGAATGTAGATATCCTAGTTATACACTTAAAATATACCTCTGAATTTTAACAACTCTTAAAACATACTTATTTTCTTGATTTTGTAATTTACTTTATATATCCTTAAACATACTCGAATTTGAAATACAAATAATAAAATTATTCTTTTTGCACCCAAAGAATCGACCAATTAGTATTTTGACGATATAATCCTAAAGTTTGAACGCGGAAAGTAGAGAGGCTCTATGACTAGGTTTTAGGTCCAATTTCACTTTTTACTACAAATGACTAAATAACCAATGATTTATTTGATTAATTACACAACAAGTGTATTAGCATCAAGCAAGGTGATGAAGGCCAGGGAGCAAAATCTTATTATAAAATTCCAGGCATTCTGATTAAATTTAGAATGTCCAATAAAAATTATTGAATAGGCCATTTTCCAACTACACATTTTTAATATTAATATTAATACAAATTCTTTATTCGTTTTAGTTTTATTTGAATTGTCCATTTTATTTGAACTATTCGTTTTATTTGAATTAATTGAATTATTTATTTGAATTATTCATTTTATTTGTTTTTTTCGTTTTATTCGTTTTATTCATTTTATTCGTTTCATTCGTTTTTTTTTCGTTTCATTCGTTTCATTCGTTTCATTCGTTTCATTCGTTTCATTCGTTTCATTCGTTTCATTCGTTTCATTCGGTTTATTAGAATTATTAGAATTATCATTATTCGTTTTATTCGTTTATTCGAATTATTTGTTTTATTCGAATTATTTGTTTTATTCGAATTATTCGGTTTTATTCGTTTTATTCGGTTTTATTCGGTTTTATTTGTTTTATTTGTTTTATTCGTTTATTCGAATTATTCATTTTATTCGTTTTATTCGTTCTATTTGAATTATTTGTAATTCACAGCATCAAATTTTTCCTTTCAAAATAGAATCTCCGAATCTGCTAATTCATCAATGTGTAAAATCCTGCTTCGGCGTACACAATCAACGTCACTTGAAATAGAAAGAAATCCGGGCAATGGATAGCTTCGAGATAATGATAGTTTATATTTGATTTGACACGCTTTTGTCGACAGCATCTGATTAATGGAGTGCATATATCTTGATGTATTATTGGGAAACCATTGACTAATAATGATTGGATTTCTTCATTTTTTTAACAGCCCAAATGTTCACTCTGGGCGAACTTTCTCACCGATTATTTTTAGTTGTTAAACCTTTAACTAAGTATAGAGAATAATTATAGGTGGTATTTGATAAACTACATATAAACCAGAGCTGGACATGTGCCCAATTAGGTAAATCGTCCAACGCAATCACCACATCTTTTTGCTAACAATCTCACTTATCATTATTAACAGCGGATTTTTGTTAATTGACATATTTAATTTCTTTCTGTGTACAGATAGTGGCGATAATGGCTGTGGTCATAATACTTCTCATATATTTCGTGTAATTGGTTTTTTTCCTTCACTTTTGCTTAATTTGGTTTTAATGCAAAAATAAAACACAGGCAAGAGATTATAAATTCGCTATCAATACAATTTTGATCTTTATGTTCACCTTCCTTGTCGCAATATATAATTTATATATTACTAATTCATAAATCGATTTAAAAATAGTTTTTTTAATTCATCACATTTACTTTAATAATAAATATATTTTGTGAATAAATGATTGGACTGATTGATTTATGAAAGAATCTTGAACGTTTTGGTATTGATTCAAATGATATCGAATATAATTGGACAACATTGACGAGATTTAGAATGCTTATCTATATTTTGCAGTAATGAAGCATATTTGATGTGTTTCGATCTGATTGTGTATCAAATGGTGATATAAAATATTGACCATTACTGTTTTAAATCAAATTTTATTTCTGATGGTTCTGTTGTGCGTGAAAATAAAAGTTATGCATATGTGAAATTCAAATTAGCCAATCAAAATTTCATATTCAACACCCCACCCCAAAATTTTAATTACAACAGTTCTAAATGAAAAATTGGAAAGTAAATTGAGCGAGTGTATTGGACCAATTACTTTAGAAAGAGATGAGAAGACGAATTATTAATAAACCATCAAGATTAGGAGATAGCTTTATTATAAAATCATATTAATTTTTTTTTCTTTAAAAAAGTCAAGTCTGTATAAATGTTATTTAGACGTGTTTTTTTTTTTTATAATTATAAATACGTTGACCACTTTTGTAGTTATCCGTTATAACTATTATAATGTTGGGGTGGTCGACGTTCCTCAATACAAAGAGTGACCGTATTCACCACAAGAGTTTTTGCATTGAGGGCACTTTGGTATGCCTCTGATGTAAAAAATTCTACGAATGCACAATTCTATTTGTTTGTTTATATATTAGTAACTTTGAACATAAAAAAAAATTCTTTTTTTCAATTGTAAAATTATTACTTACTCTTGTGGGAACAACATCAAGATGTTTAACTTTACCAAATTTTGAAAATTTACTTTTCAATAAATGATAAGTCATACCATTTTTAACATTCTTAACATAAATTGAAAGCCCAGTTTCTAAATATTTATTTATATATACATATGTATGGATATATGCAATAAACAAAAAAAGAATATGATAAAGATTATTATTATTATTAATTTAACTAACCGCTAACACGTCGAACACCAAGCCTTTGCTCATCTTGGGAATGATCATGATTATCTCCGTTTTCTTTATTATCACGATTTTGTTGCTGTTGTGATGGTCTTTTTTGAAGTTTTATCGTAGTAGTTGATAAAGGTCCCTTAGTGTTGTCATATAACAGATCATTCTTCCACTTGTCAATTCCATTTGCTGCTAAGCTCGCCCATGTTTTGACTGGAGGAGTTGGCAATTTAGGTCCAGCTTGACTATCATTTAATTGTTTTTGATCGGTATCTTTGGGATTTCCAATCAATTGATTAGTGTTATTTTGTGGTTGGTTAAAGTCGCTGCTATTTTTGTTATCAACAGATTTGTCAGTGACTTGATTAATAGATAAAGTTGAATCGGTTGGATTCTTTTTTTGAACAGACTCTATATGTTTTTGATCAGGCCTTCCCACTTGTACATTATTATTGTTTTGAAAATTATTTGCGTTGGTAGCTGATGCCGTTGTTGTTGTTGTTGTTGTTGTTGCAGTTTTGGACGAGACAGAGCTTTCTGCAACAAGAGGTTCACTGAGATGTTGCTTAGTTACTTGTGGAGATATCTTTGATGATTGATGAGTGCTTATTGGAGGTGGTAAATCATTTTTAGCGAGAGTTTTGGCAGCAGCTTCTGAGTAATTTTGAGGTTTGGTGGAAGCTTTGTCATTTATAAAAGTTGTAGATTGCAAAGTTGCATTCTTTTGAAGGTTGTTAACTTGTTGATTGACAACTGAAGTTACTAAAGATGATTGATCATTATTTATTTGGGTAGCTGGCTGACTAGTATTGTTAATTGGTTGTGTTGTTGTAACAGGTAGTGTTGAAGGTTTAGGAATGGGTGATTTGATAATTTGATTTTTGGTAGTGGTTGCAGTATTATTAGGAATAGTTTGAGCAGATGAGGTGCCTATTGATGATTGATCATTGTTTGATTGAGCAGTATTTATTTGATTAGCAAAGTGACTTTTCTGGGTAACAGGTGACGTAGTTGAATTAGGAGTGATTGATTTAACGATTGATTTTTGTTGTGGTTGTTCTGAGACAGAAGATGATCTTATTGATTGATCAGTTTCTGATTTTTTTACAGCATCATCAAGATCATTTTTTGCAGTAGTTTGTACGACATTAAGATTAAAAGTTGTGGAATCAGCCTTATCAGTAGTGATGGGAGGGATTGATGTGTTGCTAATGTCAGAAGTATTTACATGACCGGTAGAAGAGATAGATCCATCAATAGATTCCAAGAAAACTGGTTTGCTAATATCTTCCTCGACTAAAGTTTCAACTGGAGATGTTGAGGAGGGATAATCTTTGAGGTTTTCTTTTGTTAGTAAAGTTGGATTTTCAACATTCAAACAAATGTCATGGTCATTTTCGACCTTGCTACCTAAATCACTTTCATCGTTGTCGTCGTCATCATCATCGTCGTCGTCTTCATCATCATCATCATCATCATTTAGGTATCGAAAAATATCATTTAAAACATAGTAGCCATCTGTTTGTGTTGCAAGAAAAAATGTTTGTACAAATTTTCTTGGTACTTCATCATCATTGTTACTCATAAAACCCACCACCTGAATTAATATTCCACTATCTTTCGATGCTTGACAATCCACGTTTGTAACGGTAACTTTACAATTTTTATATTTCAATGATTCAATTTTTTCATTAATTTCCTATTATCATTTTAAAAAAGATTTATATAAATATGGTATTGTATATTAAAATCATACGATTTTTGTTAATACTAACCATTTCACCAAACAAAGTTTTCACTGATTCGCCTTCAATACCATGAATTAAACAGGAATTTTTACCATAAAAACAGTGAAGATGACTGGGTTGTTTGTTCAGGAAAGCATAATACTCATGCACGAAAAGCCAACCAATTTCCATAATGTTAGTGGTAGTAGATGAGGAGGTGTGATTTTCTTTTCCATTAGCATGTTGTTGTGTTGTAATAGTAGTGGTAGAGTCGTTGGTGTTCGTGTTAGTGTTCGTGTTAGTGTTAGAAGAAGCATTAGTATTGGTGTTAGTGTTAGTGTTAGAAGAAGCATTATTGTGAGTCGTTGATTCTGCTGCCATATCGATGAATGTTAATTATGTTTTTTGTGTTTGTAGTAAACGTATTTAGAACAATAAAATATTTTTTTTCATTAGAAAAGAATATGTAATTATATCTGAAATTGAAAAAAGGTTCCAAGTAAAAAAAGTTTATTATGTTAACCATGATCGACGTTGATTGTCATTAATATTAATTAAAGGCGTGAAAAAAAACAATTAGATAATTTTTTTAGAAAAACTTGAATTTTTCTCTTTTTTTATTAATTTCATCAACATAAATGGTTTACTTTGAGGTGACTTTGGATTCCGGATATAATACTTGTATATATACAAATTAAACAAAAATTCCTGGTAATTACTATTAAAAGTTATCTCTTTAATAATCATATTGATTTCAAAATTTACCATTTTCAACTAGTGAAATCAGTTGAATCTGCAGTTAATATTAATTTGTTATGATTTTCCAAATCTCCAAATTCTGGTGATAATGAACTAGAAGTAATCAGAATACAATAAATCAATTGTCAATTCTGTTGCTGCTAATGTATCCTTGTCGGAAATGAAATTTCCAATCTTTTTTTTTTTTTGGTGGCAATGATGATAATATTTTTTGTTTATTAGACATCGTATTAAATAAAAAAGTACCATCATCATAATCATCATAATCATCATCGTCATCGTCATAATCATAATCATCATTATAATTATTGGCAGAAATTATGTTACCAAAATCCGAATGATTAGTTTTCAAGTTAATTAATTCAGTATCGCCCACCTTTATTTGTCGAATTTATTTTATTTTCTATCTCAAAGGTCTGTTTTCTTGGTGATATAATAGGCGCAGTTGAGATACTAGGTTCTTCAGATTTCATGGAATATAGGAATGAAGTCCCTGAATTTCCGTTAGTTTCTACGTTTTTGTGTCCTACATCAACATTCTTGGATTCAAATGACTTTTGTTCAAGCATATTGTTAAATAACAATGACGATAATGACAATGTCGAACCGAAATGTGTTATTGCTAATTGTAGATGCTGAAGGAACAGGTTTTCCTTAATTATAACAAAAATTTATTGATAAATATAATGACAACGATGACGGTGCTGATGATGATAAATAACAATAATACCATTGTAGATAAGAATTGGACACATTCCGAATATTTCTTTTTGGTGTCAGAATTTCGCCAGGAAAACACGTTAACATCATATTGTCAATTCTATAATTTGATGAAAGAGTTCCAAGTGATTTTCACATTTAGCATTCTAATATATAATAATAATAGCAACAACAACAATAATAACAATTAAATATAAATAAATGTTATGCATTAATTCATATTTTGCGAAAACTCGCTTACTATTTGGCATCATAAACTAAATCTTCAATTGAAATTGTATTTTTAGCATTGTAAATTTCATTTTTTTCACTATAAATTTCATTAAAAAATGTTTTCCATTTCGAAACTGAATCATTTTTCGATTTTCGTCGCGTGAACATTCGTCATCATTCAAGTTGATGAAATTATTATTATTATTATTATTATTTATTTTCAACATTAGTTAAAAGGACATGAAAAAATTTTTTTCGTCTATTTTCATTTTTTACAATCGGCTGATAAATAATTATAATATTTAAGGCTGTGCAGTAAATAAATTCTTTGAGGCTGAGCCAGTTGATATTTCTTAATATTTATTTATTGCGCGTATAAGCCAAGAACTTGGAATATGTGTCATTCTAATAACAATAATAATGATGCTTAATATTCAGACCGTGAAACTGATGAAGAAAATTTGAATTGCAATCAACATGGATTTGAAGATATGTAAATAATAGATGCGACTTTAAATTGCTCCCAGTATATCTCTTAAGCTTTGATGAAACCTGATATAAACGGTTTCTGGGGCCTTGGAAAAATTTTATATTTTCAACTGTGAAGGAAAATGTGGCTATGTTTTTATTTTAGTACGCTCTTTAAAAAACAGAGACATCTATGAAGCGGTAAGTGAATATAGATGATGAAATTCTTGACAAAGAACAACAATCGAAAGAATCGGGATTTCAATAACAATTGAGGTAAGTCTACCTAGGACTTTGAATTGGTCATAATAAATTTATTATTATTATTATTATTATTATTAGATAATTAATTATATTGTTGTATCCCAGGTGATTGGTTACTTTATTTCGAAACTAATTCATCATGAGGATGATAATATAAAGTTTTAACTGAATTCAAAACCAAATATTTTAAATGGAACAAGGAAAAAATTGACTCTCAACCTGAAAATGTGTCAAAAATTCGCTATGTAAAAGATTTTGTTTATTGGATTAGATTTGCAAAATAAATACCAAAAAGGAATGTATCAAATTATTTTTTTTTTTTAAAAAAGTTAAAATGTCCTTTGAAAAGTTATTAACACAAGACAGAAGAGAATTAGCACGTAAAAGTTGTAATGAAATGACTAGTATTGCTTATTCTGCCTTTCCAACTACTTCTGATTCTGACAATGAAAATAGAAAAAGTTATTTTTTACAATTAGTCAAAGAAAACAAAGAACTATTAGAAAATGAAAAGGAATATTGTAGAGGAAAGTTTATTTATAATTTTGAATTAAAAAAAGCAATTTATAAATATGGTAAACCAAGAGAATGCAATAATTGTAAAACAACAAGACACTCTGATAAATATTGTGAAAA